TCTCTGGAAGAAATGACTGAATTCCACAAATCACTGGATTTTTGCCTTTAGCTGTACTTTGCTAAAAAAGAAGGAGCTGGAATTGGTACAGCTGTGGACAAATGCTCATGAACAGTGCTTTCAAATGGGTTGAATTTTTTTTTATTGGTGAATGTTTTTGTGAAAATTGAGTTTTGGCTAATATAATATTTGATCCTTCTTATACAGGTGAAACTCAAAAAATTAGAATATTGTGCAAAAGTTCATTTACTTCAGTAATGCAACTTAAAAGATGAAACTAATATATGAGATAGACTCATTACATGCAAAGCAAGATAGTTCAAGCCGCGATTTGTCATAATTGGAATGATTACCCCAAATCCACAATCTCAGAAAATGAGAATATTGTGGAAAGGTGCAATATTCTAGGCTCAAAGTGTCCCACGCTAATCAGCTAATTAAGCCATAAACCTGCAAAGGGTTCCTGAGCCGTTAAATGGCCTCTCAGTCTGGTTCAGTAGGAATCACAATCATGGGAAAGACTGCTGGCCTGACAGTTGTGCAGAAAACCATCATTAACACCCTCCATAAGGAGGAAAAGCCTCAAAAGGTTATTGCAAAAGAAGTTGGATGTTCCCAAAGTGCTGTATCAAAGTACATTAATAGAAAGTTATGTGGAAGATAAAAGTGTGGAAGAAAAAGGTGCACAAACAGCAGGGATGACCGCAGCCTGGAGAGGATTGTCAGGAAAAGGCCATTCAAAAGTGTTGGGGACTTTCACAAGGAGTGGACTGAAGCTGGTGTCAGTGCATCAAGAGCCACCACACATGGACGAATCCTGGACATGGGCTTCAAATGTCGTATTCCTCTTGTCAAGCCGCTCCTGAACAGCAAACAACATCAGAAGCGTCTTACCTGGGCTAAAGAAAAACAGACCTGGTCTGTTGCTCAGTGGTCCAAAGTCCTCTTTTCTGATGAGAGAAACTTTTGCATCTCATTTGGAAACCAAGGACCCAGAGTATGGAGGAAGAATGGAGAGGCACACACTGCAAGATGCTTGAAGTCCAGTGTGAAGCTTCCACAGTCTGTGTTGATTTGGGGAACCATGTCATCTGCTGGTGTTGGTCCACTGTGCCTCATTAAGTCCAGGGTCAACGCAGCCGTCTACCAGGAGATTTTGGAGCACATCACGCTTCCTTCCGCAGACAAGCTTTATGGGGATGCTGACCTAATTTTCCAGCAGGACTTGGGCACCTGCCCACACTGCCAAAAGCACCAAAATCTGGTTCAATGACCGTGGGATTACTGCGCTTGATTGGCCAGCAAACTCGCCTGACCTGAACCCCATAGAGAATCTATGGGACATTGCCAAGAGAAAGATGAGAGACATGAGACCGAACAATGCAGAAGAGCTGAAGGCCGCTATTGAAGCATCCTGGTCTTCCATAACACCTCAGCAGTGCCACAGGCTGATAGCTTCCATGCCACACTGCATTGAGGCAGTAATTGCTGCAAAAGGGGCCCAAACCAAGTACTGAGTACATATGCATGCTTATACTTTTCAGAGCTCCGATATTGTTCTATGTACAATCCTTGTTTTATTGATTGCATGTAATATTCTAATTTTCCGAGATTGTGGATTTGGGGTTTTCATGAACTGTAAGCCATAATCATCACAATTATGACAAATCACGGCTTGAACTATCTTGCTTTGCATGTAATGAGTCTATCTCATATATTACTTTCACCTTTTAAGTTGCATTACTGAAATAAATGAACTTTTGCACAATATTCAAATTTTTCGAGTTTCACCTGTATATACACATTGGTGTAAGTGAGTGGTAGTCTAGTAAGGAAAATGTAACTGTTCTAATTTGTATTTTAGAAATTATTCATTTTGCCAGTACTAAACTTTTCACATCTTTTTCACAGCATGAAAGATTATCAAGGTAAGATAACTTTGTTCTTAGCTCGTTACATCAGTTGAATGTCATGTTATTACGGTGTATGTAAAATATGACAGCAATTGTCATAGTGGATAACTACAGAAAATGCAGTGTAACCAAGAGAAGAGCAGTGGAAGTAATAAACCCCCAAGTGCATTTAGTTTACTTGAAGGTTAAAAATTACAGCCAGTTTATTTCCACCAGTATCTGAGGCACTATTACAGGCTTATTTATTAAGGTGCCAAGTGATATTCAGTAGATAAGTGTAAAGTTCAGCAGCTATGCAATCCTACTGCATTATAGCATTTGGGCACCGTCACTACAGGAAACTGAAAATAAGTTGCTGTGTGTGTGTGTTATTGTACTTTTTTGGTAAAAAAAATTACATATTTTAATGGCAGGGCAGATCCCCTGCTTAGTAGTACCCCCAGCTCTGTAGATGCCCCGCTCAGTAGTAACCTCCAGCTCTGCTGTCCCCCACTCAGTAGTAACCCCCAGCGCCGCTGATCCTCCTCTCTCTCTGATCCCTGCTCACCTCCCGCTATTCTGTTCCCATGCGGTGCACCAGTTTCGCCTGCCAGTCTCCCATCTCTTCTGATTTTCTGCCGCTCACTCTTCTCTCTCCGGTCCCCGCTCAACTTTCGCTATAGCGTTCCCATGTTGCACACCACGCATGCTGTCTGCTAATTGCTCTGCTTCAGTCCAGACCCTGCTCACCTTCCCTCTACTCCATGCTACACACTCGATGGGACGTCTGCACCAGACACTCCCAGAACATATATACAGAAACCAGAAGTGACTGCTGATGATGTCTGGTTTGCTTGTTGGTTTCTCAGTGCCTCCTGAGATATCTCATACCTGCAATACCTCCAAAACAAAGCAAAGCTAAAGCTCAATAAAAGCCTCTCAAAAACTGCAAGCGCTGTCAGCTAGCTTTTTCAGACTTCTGTGGAGGCTTTGCAGATGCTTTGAAGTACCAAGAACGCGGCATGGGGTATTTTTTGAAGCAAAGTAAACACAACAGTGTGAAAAGGACTATAAGGTAACCATGTTATTTAGTGAGAGGTGCTTCGGCATTCAGAGTGCTTTAAAAAAATTTTGACGCAAGTGTAAATGAGGGCTTACACGAAATTGATATGTATGGTGCTGTATGGGTTGGTAATACTTCTCTTTTCTTTGTCATTTTAGAAACATTTTGAGTTACCGTATTTTCCGGCGTATAAGACGACTTTTTACCCCTTGAAAATCCTCTCAAAAGTCGGGGGTCGTCTTATACACCGGTATACGGCATAGTGACACTTTTTAGGGGGGCGGCGCAGTGCCGCCACCGCCCCCCCCCCCCCTTCCAACGGAAGGGACACTAAGTACAGGGGTGGGCAGGGGCTGCTGTTTCTTACCTGGATCCGGTGCCACGACGATCCGGTCCAGGAAGCACGGCTGCTCCTTCAGTTTGGCCACTGGATGTTCGCGCGGCGGTTGCTCGGCTCCGCCTCCTCACCGGTGATTGGCCGCCAGAACTGTAGCTCAGGAAAGGCACACAGGCGGCCAATCACCAGCAAGGGGGCGGAGGCGAGCGGCCCTGCGAAAATCGAGTGAAGCAGCTGCCGGTAAGTGTGCAGTGTAGAGGTGCTGCTGCAACCACATATGTTGGCTGCAGCAGCACCATACTAGAACATCGGTCAGCAAGTGTAATTGGTGTCAGTGGGAGGAATAGCGCCCCATCATTGGTGTCTCTGATACTAATGATGGGGCATTATTCCTCCCACTGACACCAACGATGGGGCACTATTCCTCCCCCCCCACCGACACCAATGATGGGGCACTATTCCACCCCCCACCGACACCAATGATGGGGCACTATTCCACCCCCCACCGACACCAATGATGGGGCACTATTCCACCCTCCACCGACACCAATGATGGGGCACTATTCCTCCCACTGACACCAATGTTGGGGCACTTTTCCTCCCACTGACACCAATGATGGGGCACTATTCCCCCCACTGATACTAATGATAGGGCACTATTCCTCTCACTGATACCAATAATGAGGCACTATTCCTGCCACTGATACCAATGATGGGGCACGATTCCCCCCACTGACACCAAAGATGGGGCACTATTCCACCCCCCACTGACACAAATGTTGAGGCACTATTCCTCCCACTGACACCAATGATGGGGCACTATTCCCCCCACTGATACTAATGATAGGGCACTATTCCTGCCACTGATACCAATGATGGGGCACGATTCCCCCCACTGACACCAAAGATGGGGCACTATTCCTCCCACTGATACTAATGATAGGGCACTATTCCTGCCACTGATACCAATGATGGGGCATGATTCCTCTCACTGACACCAATGATGGGGCATGATTCCTCTCACTGACACCAATGATGGGGTGCTATTCCTCCCACTGACACCAATGATGGGGCACTATTCCTCCCACTAATACCAATGATGGGGCACTATTCCTCCCACTAATACCAATGATGGGGCACTATTCCTTCCACTAATACCAATGATGAGGCACTATTCCTCCCACTAATACAATGATGGGGCACTATTCCTCCCACTAATACAATGATGAGGCACTATTCCTCCCACTGACACCAATGATGGGGCACTATTCCTCCCACTGACACCAATGATGGGGCACTATTCCTCCCACTGACACCGATGATAGGGCACTATTCCTCCCACTGGTGTGCACTGGAAGAGGGGTAGTCTTATACGGCGAGTATAGCCCAAACACTACATTTTAGCAGGAAAAGTAGGGGGTCGTCTTATACGCCGGAAAAAACGGTACTTTATTGGGTGCTATTCTAAACGATTGCAGTGCACAAATTGTGTTGCCATCCTTTACCACGTACTACTGCAGTGCATAAGTCTGAAAAGGCCATAAAATTGCCGATTTGCTCTAAACTACAAAAAAAAAAAAAAAGCAGACATTTGATTGCTGTGTTTCCCTTTTCTTATTAGAAAAACGTGTTTTGTTCTAGTTTTACAACTGCATAATCCTATTATAGGATGGATTCTGGTGGCCTAGGTCTAACATCATCAGAAAGCGCCAGTGACCGTGCAGCTGCTCGAGTGAACGCATACACACAACAACGAGAGAATCGCTTGGCATCTCTTACTAAACCTGACGAAGAATCACGAAAAGATTTCAAAAAGGTTTGACATAATAGAATTCCGCAATTTTGATTTATTGTAAATTCAATCTGACATAAAGGGCGTTATTTAGCTTGACTGAGGAATTAACTAACTGCAGCATTTAGGCCTTCAAGTTTCACTGTGCTTACCTAAATTCATATCATGTCACATGACGTGCTGGACCTTCTGCTCTTCCTACAATACAGTAGGGTGTCTACAGTATATCTTGGTACCTGTGTAACATGGACACTTTCCATTTGCTGTCCAGCAGCAGGGTCTGCTCAGACACCAAAAGCTACAGCGAGAAGACATCCTCACAAGGGAATTGATCAATGCAGGCACAGCCTGGATCATCCAGCACCAGTCACACAGTCTTGCGCAGGTAAAAATGTGGATTTTAAGATTGATTTTATTTTTTTTATAATCTGCGACTGGATGGAACTAAAGGATTGGATAGATATAATAATCTTCCCAGAAATGCACTTTAAAGAACCTAAATGGTGGTATAGCAATTGAAAACAAGGCTGCTGTTGCATGATTGGCTAGTTTCTAGTGAGAATGTCATTAACCCCTTCACGCCTAAGGGTAAAACAAATCTAAATGCCTAAGCACAATTCTGCAATGTTGACATGTGTTAGTAAAACTGTATATATCATCACAACTACTTTGTACATCCAGGTGAATTATACCTTGTTTTTTTCAGGACAAATTGGGCTTTCATTTGGTGGTAAATGGTAATGGATAGCTCCTATTTTTTTTTTTATTATCAAAGGAAAACTGGCCCAAAATAGTAAAAAAAAATAATTTTTTTTTTATTTAGCTGTGTGTTTCTTGTTACAACCATAACCTACCTTCATAGAACAACCCAAAATAAATTCTCCAGCTCTTGAGGATCGCAGCGATACCATATATGTGTATGTTATTTGTTGTTTGTACCCGTAGTACAGCCCAGAAACAATAGTGTGCATTTTGTCTTTTTTTTTTTTTTTTTACCTAAAACACACTGACATTAACGCTGACACGGATACCAATTTTTTTAAAATCCTGACCTTTGACATTTTTCTTTTTTTTTTTTATATTTATTTTTCTTCTTTTTTTTTTTTACAAATTTTTTTTTTTTCTCTCTCTATGTCAGGAGTTAGAGAGATACAATGTATCTCTCTTCTCCATTCATAAAGAGAGAAAAAAACAAGGGGGCCAGGCTGCACAGTGACTGATCACTGTGATAGCCAATCAGAGGCTATCACAGCGATCACGTGACACGGAATCGGGAGTCCCGGGTCCCGATCATTAGAACGGGACCCGGGCTCTCAGTGACACTGTGGTCTCTGTGCTGGGAGCGCGCCGACAGCGTCAAGGGGTTAACGAGGTAATTTCCAAATCATGCTTAGAGTGCCTGTACTTCATATCTGCAGCCAAGGCTGCCATTAGGGAGGTTCAGGTAGCCTAGCTATACTGGGACTCATAAGGTCAGCAGGAGAGCTCAGGGGGAGGTGAGCTGGCAAGAAGGTTGTACCTAAAGCTGTCATCTGGCCTGTTTAACCAGTTCAAGTCTGCCCTATAGCACTTTTACTGCTACAGGGCAGACTTCCTGAGCCAAATCACTTATATATACATGTGATCTGCGCTCCCGCTGTGTCCCTGAGCCATCGGCATGCATGCCCAACGGCACTGTGATTCAGTACAGCAGCACCAATCATTCACCAGATCCAGGCCAATGAAGTTTGGTTTGGACTCACTGATCAGTTGTACCAAGTCAGATTTCAGCCTGTGCCTGTGTTTACATTACACAGGCACAGGAAGTGATGCAATCTTCTCTCTCTGGAGCACATTCTGTTACAGAGAGAGAAGAAAGCAGATCCATGTGAGTAAAAACACTACCCTTTTACAGTGAAAGCACAGCTAGGTCACTTTTAATCCTGATCCTTACTGCCCCCCAGTTAACCCTTTCACTGCCTTGTCACCAATGTCATTAGTACAGTGTACAGACTTTTTTAATGATCACTGTATTAGTGTCCCAGACGACTTCAGATAGCATTAGTCTCCCTCCCAGATAGTGTCAGATTGCCTGCCACTACATTACCATCACATTTAACCCACTGATTGCCAGGAACATGCTCGTATACACACTATAAACCTCTAGTGCTAGTATAGTGTCTGAACGAATCAATATCTTTGACCAGATAAGAAATATACTAGTGTTCACAATAGTACAGTGTCCCCAAAAATGTAACATTAGCAGGATCCACCCCAACAACTGCCAGCACCTGCGGTTAGCCCCTCCGCACCCCCCCCCCCCACAGCAAGTGCAGTGTCGGCGCCTCGTAGATCACCTTAACCTGAAATTTGCAGATGTGTGTATGCCCCAGCAAAACAACCTTTTTTGGCCGCCTTGCATTCAGTTGCATTCCAGCATGTATGCCAGATATGGGGTCAAAATATATAGGCTCTGTGAGAGAGCAACAGGCTATACATATAATTTTCTGATTTATGAGGAAAAAGATAGCCACGTGGAGCCTCCCGGATGCCCATATTACATGGGGAACAGTGGAAAGATATTTTTGGACTTGGCGCCGCCCTTTTTCCGTATAGGGTACCACTTACATGTAGAAACTTTTTATAGTGTGCCACTATTTAGAGATTTGTACAATCTTGGAATTGGCTCACATGGCACCATGCAACCTAATTGCTGGGGCTTCCCCCAACCCAACTTAGGAACAGGGAAAAAGCCTGTTTGAGAAATAATTATTTGTTCACAGTGAAGTGGAAGGACAAACAGGATGTTTTATCTTCCATTCACGCAGATGCAACAGTCCAAATTTGCATTGAAATGGTGTTGTTGAGAAGCCCCTCTGTGCCCACAACTATAATTTTTTTGTAGCAGGTCAAGTAGTCACTGACAGCCAGGTGCTGTTTTTTCCTACAGGATTCTGAGTATTTCAGAAGAGAGCGTAGGGGAATGTTCACTGACTGAATCAGGCTCAGAATACAAATCTGTAGAGAGCAGCGGCACTCCGACAGATAGCTCAGATGATGAAAAAGAGGTCTCTGGTATGGTCAAGCATACCCGACCACATGCCCAGATTGCTGGGGTGTTAGAATAAGTTTCTGTATATTTATTTCAATTGGCTCTGTACACACTTTTATGCTTTACAAAGCAACTGGACAAAGTGGATCCTTCCTAAAATGTAAGGAAGAGATCATCACGGCCCTTTTGGATCCAGAAGGTGCTGTGGCCCAAACCCACAACCCAGATGCAGTGAGCCGGCTCCATGAGAGGCATTTTTCTGATGCCGTTTCTGGTACCTCAACCCAAAAACACTCCAAAAAAGATGTGTCTGTAGCAGACACAGGGTTAGACGTGTCAACAGGTTTTTTTGTCTCTCTTGCCCTGCTCAACCTGGTCTATGCCTCAAGGACCGCTGCCATCGCTACTACACACTAGTGGAGTATTCGTATAGGGTACAGCATAGTACAGTCTAGGGCACTCACTTACACATGGTCTTGTAAGATGTTAGGTAGTCAGTTAACAGGCTGTCACATTTTGAGTGACCCTACAATCACAGTCTGTAATATTACAGTAACCAAAAAAAGTAAAAAAAGTGAAAAAAAAAAAAACAAAAAAAAAAAAAACATACCAAATAAAACAGTAAAAAAAATAATTAAAAAAAAGCCAAAAATAGTTGTTTTATTGAGTTACTGTTATATTACTACGGTTTCTTGTCGTTTTCTTTGCATGAACACCATTTAGCTGCAGCACCAATCTGTTTATTCTGACAGCAACAGGGTTTGCTCTCAGAATATAGATCAGTGGGTGCATCGCTGCTAAATGAGATTCGCAGTTAAAAAATAAAAAAAACCACAACACCATATATGCCCAAGAATGGGGGCCTGGGGTGGTCAGTGGGTAGATTGCTCATACGCCTCGGCATATATTTTTTCTTTTTTTTGGCAGAGATTTCTTCTTCAACATTGATCGATGTGAATGGAGGAATCTGTTAGGTTCTTCTTTTTGTTCAGCCCACAGGCTGAGCGAAAAAAAAAAAGAACATTTCATGTATGCCCAACATTAGAAGTGGGTGGATGCAGGGAGGTATATTATAATGGTGGGCATACCACACACTTTCTGGCAGAGATTTTCTCTCTCTTTTTTCATTCACCCAGAGGCTGCATAAAAAAAGACCAACATATATGGTACATCACTGGATTTTGAGTGATTTCCCAGCCTATCCAGTAGCTGCAGGCATCAACCTGGTATCGTTTTTTCTTCAGCCATCAGTCAACATTCATGTAAAAGCAATCCTAGTGGCTAATTAGCCACTGAATTGCTTTGACAAGCAGTGGTGTAAGGAAGATTCACCCTCTCTATTTGTCTTGTTTACCATTATCATTGAAAGTAAAAGATTTGGGTTGTTCCCAGAAAAGTAATAGAGGGGAAATCTTCCAATGGGGAGACTTGTTCTAGTGACCTCAGGGGGCCCCAAGGGATTCCTTTAAATTTGTAGGAATGTTCTCTCACTTCCTGATTTGGCTATGGGACAGAAGTGAAGAGAAATCTCCCCAATGACAACGTTGTCTTTTTTATTGGTGGAAGAAAGCGGCTTCTAGTCACCTTTTTTTCTTTTGTATTAATACATATGCTGCAGGGACCACACTTAGTGAGTTGGCATATTTCTACGGTTTAAATCATCTTAACCCTTTATTAGCAATGAAAACTGACAGGGGTTCTAAAAAAAAAGAACATTTCATGTATGCCCAACATTAGAAGTGGGTGGATGCAGGGAGGTATATTATAATGGTGGGCATACCACACACTTTCTGGCAGAGATTTTCTCTCTTTTTTCATTCACCCAGAGGCTGCATAAAAAAAGACCAACATATATGGTACATCACTGGATTTTGAGTGATTTCCCAGCCTATCCAGTAGCTGCAGGCATCAACCTGGTATCGTTTTTTCTTCAGCCATCAGTCAACATTCATGTAAAAGCAATCCTAGTGGCTAATTAGCCACTGAATTGCTT